TCCCTTACGAAATAAGCTTGCAAGAACTAAGTAAAATTTTGTTGCCTTTGGGACAAGAGAATTTGGAAGAACATAATACTCTCTGGTTAACCTTGGCCAAACCTACTTTATCTTTTGGTAATGAAGGCCACTATTCTGCTACACGTCTCAGAGAATATTATCACAAGAAGTTAATATTGTTATCTCTTACTGAAGAAGAATGCTCGATCTTCTTTCTGCCCTTCATCTAAAGCTGAGACTACAGCAAACTCCACATCACAGTTCATACTCTACTCACCAGGAGAGCTAAGCAGCACCCTCTATGTTCTCTGTTGATATAAAGGACTGGAATCAAAATGACCAGCACAAACAATGGACCAAAAAAAGAAATCATCCAAACCAAACAATATTTTTTTAAATCTCCAAAGAATTTGATTCCCACATCCTTAATTCTCCAGTTGAATGCAAAAACGCTGTAATGCCCAGAGTTACCAGCTCTATATTCAATGTTTTCATTACATTCCCAGCTCCTGTTACCAATGGATTACATAGCTATTTCAGTTCCACTCAAAACAGTGAGCTTGCAGCCCACACAGATCTACAGGTCTCAGAAAACACAAGGCAGTTCCATTGCTGGGTTAAAAATTAAAAAAAAAAAGCCACAAATGCAAATCACCCTTTTTTCCTTCTTTTTCTTTTTCCCCTCCCCCCTTAAATCTCATTATTTCAATTGTTTGAAACCTAGTTTAAGATTTCTTAATACTCCAATTACGACAGTGCTTCAGTGTGACAACTATTTTTCCTCCAAATGCACCACAAAAAGATACTGTTGCCTTGAGAGAACCAATAACTCTGCCTGGTAGAAATAAAGCGAGTGTCACAAAAGTCACTGAAACATTTCTCACCTCAAAGACAAAAACGTGGGAGAAAGGGTTTACCTAACACACAGTCTGGGAAGTCTTCCAAAATCTTTGTTTAAGAAGTGTTTAGTCTGACACAGTTCCCTCCAAAGCCCTAGAGAGATGCTAGAAACATCCACTTGAGGATAATGCAAGAATGAAAAAGACCTACTAAAATCCTGTTCCAAACTATGGTTCATATCACTTTGTTTCAACACATATTTGTGCTGCAACCACTGAAACTCCAATACAGGGCACTGCACTACTGTCTTTCTCAGCACATTCTTGCTGGATGACACTTTATGTGAACATGTGTGAAATCCGTACCAGAAGACTCATCTGTCACGCATCTCTCTTGTACGCCCAGGACTGTTCTGCATTTTCTTCTGATGTTGTTCTTTTTTTTTTTTTTAAATACTACTGATGACAGGACACTAGATGAGAAAGGTACTTGATCTGATTTAATGTGGCAATTGCTTGCTCAGCTATTTTATTAATTGATACCATTAGCGATAACTGTAACCAGTAACTGGAAATAGTTTGTTGCCTGATATTTGCAACCAAGCAGTTGCAGTCCTGCTGCTGCTTCATCAGGTCCTTTCCAGCTGTTGTCCAGGTAAGCTTTTTTCTTTTTTTCCCCCTTTAAAAACAAACAAAACAAAAAAACCCCATGAACTCCTGACTGTCCAGTTATTTTCTGCATCCAACTGCTCCACAGCATGCCCAGCTCAGCCTGACAGCAATCAGGATCAAACCTCCTCTGCTGCACTTCATATTTCATTGCAACTTCCTTCACAAGCAAATCTTTCAACTGCAACTCCTGGCTCAACCTAGCAGTTCTTGGGATTGATCCAGCCATTATCATTCAACACATAAATTAAAAATTTCCATACTTTGCAGTAACCTCTTCAGACCTCCAAATAAATCAGGTACACTTCGTACAATTTTTTGACATGCTAACTTCCCCTTATTATAAATTCAGATCAGAGCATTTCAATCGATTCACAATCACGTTGTCCACGCATGTTGCTCCTGCATTATGGAAGCAAACAATGGGAATGGAAGAAGTGGTTCCACCAACAGCCCAATTCCTAAATTTAGTCCCCCTGTCTCTTTTCAGTCACAGCTTTTTGAGGGTAAGCTGTGCTATCTCATGACGATTCTTCACTCACACACCCCTCCACTGCACACAGGGAATCCTGAAAGCATTGCACCCAGGCAGTCACCAAGCTCCCCAGAGGAGTGCTGTATGGCTACTGTATTCACACATTCAAGCGATAAAGAAATATGCTCTGTGGCTCT